TCTTCCAGACAAAAGCCTCCACAAAGACATATTCATTCCTACAACTGAACTTGTTCCCTATCTTTGATTATCCTTAGCTACCTCCTTTGAACCCCTTAAACTTCTCCTTTCCCTGTTTCTGAGATCAGAGGACCACATCTGCCTGCAATGTTCAAGATGTGTGCAAACCACAGCTATATATATATTATTTATATATTTATAAATAAGAAAACTCTGGTTTGTTCTCTTTATGTACAACTGCTGAGCACTAAACTGTTTTAAACAATGTTTATTATTAACCCAAGGTCTCAATCCTATATGTTCACTTCAAACCCCACCACTATATACACACTTTATATAAATATGTGTATATATACACATAACCGTACGATTGTGATTGTCTCTGCCCCGTGCTGCATCTCTTTGCACTCACCTACAGCAAATATTACCTGCTATTGTATCACTCAGCCACCCATGAGCATGAAGACTTTAAAGTTCCACTGATGGCACTTGTCTTTACTGCAATAAAGTTGATTTCACAAGAAAAATTAATCACCTCGGCATTCACTGGTTTTTTTCTGATAGTTTATGATATGCTGAACACAGGCCCTGACAAAGATACAAAGAAATTCCCCCTCACTCCCCTCTGTGACAGCTGATCTTCTATTTCCTATCTTTTAGCTAATTATTTAATCAAGCAACAACTTTCTTCTCCTGTGTCAGCTTAATTTCTTTAAGAGCCTTCAGTGGCAAACCTTATTGAACACTTTTTGAAAATCCAAACGTAGTTCTTCAGGCATTTCCTAAAACTCTTTGCATAAAACAGCATTAAGTTAAGCTCCATTTTAGTCCTTCCCACAGTAGAGCAGTTTTTAGGCAAAAGGTTATGCTCACAGCTATGAAGCAGAGTGGCAGTGTTCACTCTGCTTGTTCTATAATGCTTCTTCAGCACCATACAATACATATTCCCTTATAAACCCCCACAAAATAAAGTTATGTGGTTGGAGAGCCTTCTTTTCTCCTCTGAATGCAGCTCTTATACCTTGATCACCTAAAAAAACTCCAAAAACCTGTAAAGGTCTCACCTACCATGCTTCAAGATGTAATTCCTAGGTTTAGCACTCTTTCCAAACTGTCTCGCAGCCTTCATTCATTTTTCCAGTTAGACTTGCTGCACTTTAGCATTTAACCATCCAAAGATTATGACCCTTCCTATTTTTCTCATCCGAATGTACAACAGATTGCTCCCAACAGGTTTATTCATCATAAAAAGGCGCACATCTAGGAGACAGTGATCATCTTACTGACAGTGTGCTGTACCACCCACCACTCCAGAGAAGCACTTCAGCTGGACAGTGCCAAATCCTCCCTCGCTCCTTATTTCAGGATCCTCAAAGCACTGCTGTTAGCAGCTTCCTTCCCTTAAAAATCATACAGTAATATAGATCAAAACAGATCTCTGGATGATCCCTCTGGTCCAACGCCCTCACAAAGCAGGACCAAGTTAGAGCACATTGCTCATTAGGGCCTTGCCCTGCCAACGTCGGAATAACTCCATGAAACGAGATCCCAAAACCCCTCTAAGCCCCTGCTTTATATTCCTTATCCCTGATGGGAACCTCTCGTGTTGTAACTTGGGTCTGGCACCTCTCATCCTACCCCAGTGCACCCCCTACAAGAATCAGGCTGCACCTATGCCCTCCCGCCAGTAGTACAGTCTCCACCTCGCCTTCCCTTCTTCAGGCTGAACTCACCCGGCTCCCCCTGCCTCTCTCCACCTCCCATATAGCTCCAGCCCGGAGCCCCCACGGGGTTGGGCCCCGTCTTCAAACACAGTCTCACCGGTACCGAAAAGAGGACGAAGCCCCGTGCCCTGGGCCTGCCGGCCGCACCCTGGCCAGCCCGCAGCGCCGGGGCTGGCGGCGCACGGCTCCCCGCCGCCGCCTAGCCCGACTCACCGCTC